GTGTGTGTGTGTGTGTGTGTGTGTGTGTGTGTGTGTGTGTGTGTGTGGCGGCTGACTGTGTGATGTGTGCGGTGAACTGCTCCTGTTACCACTGCGCGCACACACACACACACACACACACATTGCCCTGTTCAGCAGCAGAAATCATGGGGGCAATTTAGACATTTTAGTGAAGGGAATGGGGGGGATTTTAAACTCGATAAAGTCTGAACATGCACCTGTGTTTTGTTAAGGTAGCTGTATTACCACTTAGCATGTGTAGTTTAGTTTATAACGGAGCCAATGACAAAGTTCAGCTCACAATTAGAGAAAGAGAACACGATAAAAATCCTATCTACAGATGGAAATTTAGCGGTGAAGTGAATACAGCTACACTTTTGCTCTTCAGTTTTACAGTCAAATCTTCTTCACTTCAGCAGTGTATGTGTGAGAAGTGATGCTGTCTTATGTAAGAACAAGATACTAAATACAGCACATACAATACATATGCAGTCCGCGTGTCAGACACCTGGCCTTCATCTCAGTCAGCACCTATGGATCATGTAACTACCATCATCACCCATGAATGGATGTCAATACGTCCCTTGTTTGGGAAGAAAACATCTGTCTTTAGTCTAGCACCACCATATCAGCCTTCATGTCATGCACCTGTATATTAACATTGATATCAATATGTTCGTGACACATGAGAAGATTAAAGTTATGATCTAGTGGGCATTGTTCTTATGGAGTGTTCGCACCAAATGCCAGGTGAATTTTCCACGTGACGAGAATGAGACTGCACGAAAATGTGTATAAATGTATGGAGCAGCTACAATGTTAGCATAGCCTAGCCCTAATTAATCCAAACTCCATTCAGAAAACATGCATTTTAAATGCTGTTTGGTCTTGCAGACAGACCTGACAAAGCATAAATTTAGACTTTTTACAAATCAGCGTCGTGAGGAAGTTATTTCGGCATCCCTTTGATCCCTTTATCGTAATTAAAGAGCAGCAAAACCTGTTTATTTTGGGTTCATACTAGCTTTATTCAGCCCACGTGTGACTTGCTGGGTCCGGTGAAAACAGCTCGGTGAAACACCGCCGGATGATGTTATGAACTCAGACAAAAACAGCGTTTGTTTTTGCGATGACAAATCAGCAATTGCGGTTATTCCGGCCATGGTTGATGATGGAAAAAAAAAAAAGCATCTTCGCTGGCATCGAAGATGCTCTGAATCGTCTCTTGCTATCTACATGGAGCTCATCTCTGACACGTCTTGTGCGAGTGACGCGAGGAAACACAAATGTCCCGTGGTCAACCTCGGGCGAGTGAGGCGTAAAATTTGCTCTGCGTTTGAAGTGACCGCAGCATTGTTCCC